ACACTCCTAATGATGCTGGAACCACCATTACATAAGGAATGGCCATTGCTCATGTCTGCAAGAGAGCCGACACATCAAAATCAAACAATGAAGAAGTTGAAGTATTCCTTCTTCACAAGGGTTAATTTCACAAAACCCCCTACAATGAAGAAGTTGAAGTATTCCTTCTTCACAAGGGTTAATTTCACAAAACCCCCTACGCCTTTTTGTTACTGATTTTTCATTAACCCCCCTGAACTTTAGGATGTACTTATTTTTCATTAACCGCTTTGAACTTTAGGATGTCTCACAAAATTCCCTCAACTTTATGCGTCTTACAGGACACCCCCCCCCCCCCCTAAACACACACACAGTGACACACACAAAAAAACCCGCCACCCACCCAACCAATGCGAACGGTAATTGCAAATAACTTAAATCTCCTTGAGAGGGCACCCCCAAAAAAAACATACATTGTGTTCTTTTTTTGTTTGGGGGGGGGGGGCGGGGGGGGTAGTTGAGCGGATAAAAAATGACCAAATTTGAGCTTTTTTTCCTTGAGAGGCCATTTTAGTAATTGCCGAATAGAGGTTTGGTGAAAAAAGCTTAAAGAAACATTCAGGGGAACATATCTGCAAAACCCCCGAAGCCGCGGGGTGCACCGCCAGCCCCAACCCAGTTGTGTGTTTTTTTTTTTGTTTTTTTTTTTGGGGGGGTGGGGCGTGGGTTTGGGGGGGTGGGGGGTGGGGGGGTTGGGTTAGGAAATTAACCCCTTTGATAGATAGGATATGGTTGACAAAAGCTTACTGTTGGCTGGGGTAGATAGGGAGTGAAAGGTCAGAAAGCAAGCATCCAAATCCTTCAATGTGTGTCCTGTTGGTATTCTATATATAGGATACCTGTATCAGGTTTAATGGCACAGTCACATACAGATTAGATCAACATGTCTAAAATATAGTGAGGAAACACTTAATTGGGAAAACAAAGGAATACCAAGCAACAGACATCCAGCTTGATGGGAGAAGATCACAACTTCTGTAGATTTTTAGACTCGGAAATTTACTGGCCAGTGCTGAAATCTGCGAGCAACAAATTGATATAAATTCTTTTAGATGGACAAAGATAAGAATTGCACAAACCAAGATTAGTAGTAAACTTGCCTTATCAGCTAAAGGCTCTCTTCCATATGGTGAATCCCGAGCAAGATACTCAAATATAGGTCTGATTGCTTGATCACGACACTCTCTATCATTGCCAAAGGGACCCTCTTGACCGGCGTAGCTGTCGCTGCTGCCGCTAGCTTCACTGCTTGTGTCCTGATAAGCTTCAACATCACTCTCATCGACAGGTTTCCTACGATGAGAGAAAAGAAAAGGAGAATACTCGTTAAAAGCCAGAAAATAAGAAGCATTCAAACAGCCGAATGCCAAAGACTGGCTCTTTCTAACCAGGATTTTGCCAAGCCTCTCAAAAGAAAAGTGATTTAAGACGAAAAGAGCAACAAATAGCAATGTGCACGAAGGGCTGTCAGATACTGGAAGAATCGTACAACATAGAAAACCCAAGAGAGAGAAATTAAATACGCCTGCCATGGGAGAGAACCATCACATATAAAGAATATGCCTAATAATGCTATTCTTTCCTGAACAAAGTAACATGAGGCAAGAGCAAGAATGGATTAGGAACTGTGTTTCTCCAAATTTAAAAATCAATATAATTCAGTTTCTTTTCAGCTAAATTAAAAACACAAATACCCTAAGTTTCAGTCACTTTCCAGGTAAATCTTTTAAAAAAGTTTTCAACTTTGTAACTAGCTATTTGGACATTCTTTCCCTCCAACTATGAGTCAAATGACATTCTATCCTCTTCTTCAGGAGTTTTAAGGGAGCAACTGGCTGAGAGGGTAAATCAAGTCTCCAAATCCATATGCTATATCAACCGAAGAAAAAGCACTAGATTGCATGGATATGCAGCATACGTTGGATTCACCCCAAGTACCTGAATCCAATACACATCCAAAATAGATACAAGCAGGTATGCACAGAATAGTGGTCATCCACAGATGGTATCTAACTTACACTGGATATGGTATGGTGGTATCCAATACATTCATGCATGTGGTATGTCCAGGTTCATAAAAAAGGCACAAACAAGGTTCAGGTACAACTGCTTAACTGCTTCAAACGGAATGCC